GAGTTCCTAAAATGAGGGGAGAAGTGTTCCTTCTTTTTTCTGCTTTAATTGTTTGATATAATTTATCAGTTAAAATGTTTATGAGCCTGCTGTTGTCGTATAGGTAGGTTTTGAAGCTAAGACTATAATATAATTTACGAAACAGAAACCAGAATCTGTGAAATAAATGTTGAGAGCCTATGAAATTAATAGTAACAACCTATGAGGCGAAAGACCAACGTTAGAACCTATGGAACAAAACCAAACTCTTACCTCTGACCAGTAATCTCAGTGGGACCTCCAAAATGATATAAGGGAAGAGATGTAACCCCCAAACTGAAGGATGTCCAAAACGCGAGTTCGTGTTCTCTAAAATCGAAGAATGAATTCTAGGAACAATGGAGGTTAAGAGTAGGAAAAATTTATTGGGAGAAAGAAAGCTTCTGCCTAAGAGAGACAGAAGGGGGACCGGAAAGTGGGTTGCCCCGGGTCTGTATTCTTATACATGTTTATCTACATTAAAATGAGCCTTTATTTAACTCACAAAGCTATGTACTGCTAGGAGATAAAAATGTAGTGCTTGTTAAATATCTACAGAGTTCATAAGAAGTCATGCTCATGTGGGAATATGCTAGAGAATAAAGGATAAAGTATTAGCATGAATGATTTCTCTGGAAAGGTTCATTATGCAAAATAGATGACCACAGTTGTTAGTAAATGTGTGAAAGGTTAATATTTAAAGATATCAAATATATGAAGCTCTTCCTAGCCTCCAGTCTCTTTCTCACACACATATACACACTCTCTGTCTCACAATACACATTCTCTTAAACACACGCTCCCGCAGTCTCCCACACACACACTATCTCTTACACACACACACACACACACACCCCTTATTCTGTAAATCATTGGCTGAGCAACCAATGCTGGAATGAGCTTTCTTTATTCAGCATTTGCTGGTAGCTTTCATCTGAGCAGTGAACTTTTTTTTTGAACTTTTATTTTTTAAACAAGGTCATAAGTTCTGGGATTCAAATTCATTTTTCCTAGGGGGGCTCCTTCCATCCTAGCCCCCTTTGGGAGAGGAAGATAGTTTAATGGCCAGATGAGAGGCAAGGACACATTCGAGGCCTTCACAGGAAACAACTTTAATGCCTGCAAGTCTCCATACAGGGGGAGGAAAATGGTACTGAAAGGGACAAATAGTATTTCTAAACTCTAGCAAAGAATCGCAGTTAAGGAGTTGCTGGTGCATTTTAGTAATTGGTTTCACTCCTTAAATGTGTTTAGTGGCTAAAGTTAAAGGAAGAGTGGTTGAAACATAGTCTAAATAATCATTGTCAAGTTCATATAATGGGAAAAAGGGCCAGCTGAAGTCCATCTATGGAGTGCAATTAGAAATCTGCTTAGAGAGAGACAGAGCAGGAGAGTGAGAGAGGGAACTGCAATACCAAATATGGGGAGATATTTACATTCTGCCAAGCAATATCTCCCTCTTAAATCCTGTGAATCCAAGTCTCTATTTCACAGGAAGGAGAGAGAGAAACTGAATATTTAAATGTACACTAGTGACTTTGTTAGTGACATCCTATTCAGCTAGTCTTTGAAACACAGGAGAAATTGAAGATTGTCAGGTTGGCAGATGCTGACCAACATGTCCAATTCCCAAAGATCTTGGAAGCACAGTTTTATCCAAACTGGGAGCCCAGAACCATGAGCTCAGGCAGATTTTCAAGTCTGCAGTCTGGCTTTCAGATAAAAACTCTAGACACCTGAAACTGGTGGATGCTGTGGGTGTAGCTCAGTGGTAGACATGTGTTTAGCACATGCAGGAGCCTGAGTTCAATTCCTGACATGTGGGTGCATGAGTGTGCTACCCTTGTCAGCTACTGGTCTGTAGGAGCATGTATCACTATATCCCTAGTCCCTTTGAGGACTAACTGAGGCTTTGAGGACTATTTGTGTCATCAAGATAAGTATTTCAAGGTATCTTACAAACAAGACATTTCTGCCTGTTATCCACAAGGAGTCTTTACCATAAGTGCAATAATAATCATCATGCAAATAAAGAATAAACCACATTTTGTGCCCAAAGGGTTTAGAGTCCAACATTTCTTGATTTGATTCCCAGCTGTACAACTTCCTATGTGACTATGTAACAATGAGCAAGTAACACAATTTCTTGGAGCCTCAGTTTCTTTATCTGTATAATGGAGCAATTAATAACACCCATTTAATAGTATTGTTGGAAGAATTAAGTAATATAATGCATTGATCATTGTTATATTAAATGAAAGTTAATCTGTGTAACATGTTAACATTAAAGAGTTGAGTTAAAAATAAAAGCCAGTAATGGTTCCTGAGTGATTCTTTTAAAAATTGTTTTATGAGATATAATTTACATAGCATAAAATTCACCTGCTTAACATACATAGCTTAGTGCTTTTAAGCGTGTGCAGTATTTAATATCCATAACATTGTACAACAATCACCAGAATCTATTTTTAGAACACCTTACCACCCCCAAACAAACACCTACCCGCTAGACCACGTTTCTCATTCCCCCCCTCTCAGGCCCTGGCAAGTATGAAACTACTCTCAATGAGTTTGCCTCTAAGAAGCCTTTCTTATAAATGGACTCATACAGTATGTGGTCTTTTGTGACTGATACCTCAGCTTGTTTTTTACTTATTTTTACATACACAATAGCAAATAAATCAAAAGTATTCTCTGTAAGCTTATCTCATCAGCTGAATATGAAAGGCTCCACACAAGATAAGGGAAGGAAGTGGTTGATTGCCATATGGGTTGTCAGCAGGCATCAAGCAAATAAATCATGCAGTTTGATCACATTAATGCATAATGTAAGTCTTTCCTCTTTCATTTATTTTCTCTGCATCCCATCCTCAGCAGTTGGCTCTAACATGAACAGACTCCTTCCAGCCTGAGGATGTCCTTGACTCTGACAAGGGCCTGACAACATTTGCTCCTGTAGCAAAGCCTATGGTGGCATTGAGTGGGCCCCCTGTGAGGCTATGTGACATAAAAGATTGTCTAGTAGGGAGGCAGGAGATCTGGCTCCAGCCCTCACTCTGCCAGTAACCTCGGGTATTCTGAGAAGTAAAGGAAATCATGAACCTGAAGTGTGGAGAGTGGTGTTAGCCATAGAGGCTCCATGTTAAATATTACCCTCCATTGTATAGAGCAAGGAGACTGTTACGAGGAACCGCGTCCTTGCCAAATTAGATGTTTACCTTCAGAAATTGTCCTGGAACATGATGAACATTTTGTAAACCCGAGAAACAAGAAAGCCCATGAGGGTGGGGAATTTCCAAAGAACTAGAGAACAAGGAAGCAGATGTCTTTGGATAAGGGTCATGATTAATAACCAAACTCACCTGTGAAAAAAAGGGGAGGAGAATAAAAAAGGCGGCGGCAGGCTCTCTGAGAGGCTCCCGACTCTATCTCTGCGTCTTTTTCTTCATCCTCACTCCCCCATTCAGGTGCTGTTCGACAAGTGATGGCTGGCTCCGTCACGGGTGGTGCCCGAACAGGGACTTGAATACGGGGGACCATAGTGAAGGACACCGTGGATCGTGAGCTTGGATAAGTAAATTAAGGGCGGTGAATGCACTCGGGAGTAGCAAGATGGGTATTGGTAATAGCCGAATGCTTTTTGAGCATATGCTTAAAAATATGCTTTGCGCTCGTGGAGCAAGGTAGGGCATCAATAATTATGTAATTTTTTAGAATTTGTAGAGAAAGTTTGTCCTTGGTCCTCTGAAGAAGGCACAGTAGATTTAGAAGTATGGAATACGGTGGGGAAGCGACTTCAGGACTATTACGATGGTCATGGACCCACTAAAATCCCTATAGATGCTTTTAGTTTATGGCCTTTAATTAGAGATAGTTTGGATCCTCGGCATGAGGGAGAGAGGGTTGAAGGACCCTCCTCAAGTCCTTCCTCAGAGGAGCCTGACAAGGCTGGTGTTCCCGAGGTTGTCCCTCCGCCTCCTATAGAAAGTGAAACTAAGCCATCTGCCCCATCGGCTTGTGCTGATGCAGAGCCTGCACTAAGGAAGGGTTTTTTTCCAGATGAGGGACCCCTAAACCCGGGAGATGCTGATGCTTTGGAAGAAGAGGCTGCTAGGTATAACAAGGAGGACTGGCCCCCCTCTGTATCGTAGCCGTGGCCAGGAAAACCGAAAAACCCAGACAGCCAGCAAATGAGGACGTGACCGAAAGCATTACTAGATTGGAAAAGAGATTGGAGTCTCTTTGTCAGCAGTGGCAGACAGGCTTAACGGTGGAAGAGGAAGACCAGAAGACTCAGGGTGGGGGAGGTATAGTTCCTAGTATAATTGCTGGTCTTGGTCCCCCGGTGGTTGCAGGTCCAAGATTAATGAAAAAAACTGACCCTCTTATAGCCATGATCAAACATCCCCCAGGACCCAGGCCTTTGTCTGTCAATTCTCGGTCTCTGTCGCCATTACAAGCTACCCTGCAACAGGCGGTTGACAGAGGGGAAGATACCCAGGGCTTTCATTTAGCTTGTCCAGTATTTGAGGAAGCTGACGCTCAAGGGAATATGGTCAGAATCCATCGGCCGATACCTTTTAAGCAACTCAAAGAGTTAAAAATGGCCTGTGCGCAATATGGCCCTACCGCACCTTTTACTCAGGCTATGTTAGAATCATTGAGCACGGAGGCGCTGCCTCCCGGAGATTGGAAGCAGCTTGCTAAGGCATGCCTGTCTGGGGGCGATTACCTCCTTTGGAAAACAGAATTTTCCGAGCAGTGTCAAAGAACAGCTGAATTAAATAGGGCTAATAGAAATGATATTGACTCAAGGATTAGTGATTGCACCGGAAAAGGTTCAGACTGAACCACCATATTCCTATTTAGGACATAAGTTCTATCCCAAATCTATATTACCTCAGAAGGTTCAAATTAGGAAAGACAATTTACACACTTTCAATGATTTTCAGAAATTGTTAGGAGATATTAATTGGCTTAGACCATATTTAAAAATCTCCACCGGAGAATTGAAACCTTTATTTGATATCCTCTGGGGAGATTCTGATCCTACATCGGTTAGAAAATTAACTGAAGAAGGTCGGATGGCCTTGTGTGAGGTAGAACAAGCTATAGAACGACAGCAAGTTCAATATATAGATTATGCTTGAGGATGGGCTGCCTATGTTCTGGCGACAGCACATGTTCCCACTGCTGTTTTATGGCAAGAGGGTCCCTTGCTTTGGTTGCATTTGCCTGTTTCTCCAGCCAGAGTGTTAACTCCCTATTATGAATCTGTGGTGTGCCTGGTTCATATGGCGTGGGAGGAATCTCGAAAATATTTTGGAGCAGAGCCTTCCTTAATTGGAGTCCCGTTTACCAAACAACAGTTAGATTGGCTATTCCAAAATGTGGACATGTGGGCCATTGCTTTTGCACATTACCCTGAATGTATAGATAACCATCTCCCCAAGGATAAATTATTGCAATTTGTTAATATTCATGCTTTGGTGTTTCCCAAGATTATGAAACAGGAACCCATAAAAAATGCTCAAGTGGTTTTCACTGATGGGTCTTCCAATGGTACTGCGGCATATGTTATTCAGGGAAAGCCACAGATTGTTCATACAGCCCCTGCCTCCTCTCAGATTGTTGAGCTTCGCGCCGTAGCTGCGGTATTTGAACTTTTGGCCCATTATTCTTTCAATTTGTATACAGATAGTCATTGTATTGTTAAAGCTTTACAGGTGCTTGAAACAGTTGCTTATATTGATGCTGTCAATAATCAAATACAGGAGCTCTTTGCTCACATACAATGGTGCATACGTGCCCGGACCTGTCCTTGTTATGTGGGTCACATTAGGGCTCATTCTGGGCTTCCTGGACCCCTGGCAAAGGGAAATGATCCTGCGGATCAGGCTACATGGCTAGTAGCTTTCAGTCAATTGGAATTAGCTCAGCAGTCTCACGCTCTACATCATCAAAATAGCCACAGCTTAAGGAAGCAATTCCATATAACTCAAGAAGCTGCTCGACAAATGGTTAAGCAATGTTCTGCCTGTCCTACACATCATTCTGTCCCTCATTATGGGGTAAATCCCTGCGACCTTAAACTTAATCAGTTATGGCAAATGGATGTTACCCATATTGCCAAATATGGAAAACAGAAATATATACATGTAAGTATTGGTACCTTTTTGGGATTTATTATGGCCACGGCCCAAACTGGAGAAGCTACGAAGCATGTGATAGGCCATGGTTTAACATGCTTTGCCACAACTGGGGTCCCTGTCATTCTTAAAACTGATAATGGCACGGGATATACTAGTAAAGCTTTTCAAATCTTTTGTAAACAGATGGGTATCGCCCATAAGACAGGTATTCCTTATAACCCACAAGGCCAAGGGACTGTGGAAAGAGCCCATGGTGCCCTAAAAAATCAATTGCAAAAAATAAAAAAAGGGGAAGTTATACCCTTTATCCCCACAGAATTATTTACATCATGCTCTCTTCATCCTGAACTTTTTGATTGTGGATGCTTGTGGAATGACCGCAGCAGAACGGCTGTGGCATCCTAAAACTAAATCATCATATGCTCAAGTGAGGTGGAAAGATCCCCTCACGGGTGTATGGAGTGGCCCCGGCCCGGTATTGATATGGGGACGAGGGCACGTTTGTGTTTTCCCGCAGGACGCTGAAGGTGCCAGGTGGCTGCCTGAAAGATGGTTTGCGGGAAATTCTCCTGCCCCTCAGGATGATCCCGACAACTGTCCTGCTGATAAATCTAATGATGATGCTTAATGAGAAGGTTTATTGGACTTATGTACCTGATCCACCTGTTGTACATCCAACGAGCTGAAAAAATGGAGAAGTAATGGTATGGGTGAACAATACCAGGCTGTTGCATGAGCCGGCGGCCCCTGACAAGAACGAGGTCCGATTGTTCAACTACACGGGATCAGAAACCGGAACCCCCATATGTTTCTCCAAAATCAACAGAACTGATCGAATAAGACTGAGTGCTCGCACCCTGGCAGGAAGGCAGGTAGATCAGTGCAAAGGCGGGATCACTGGAGTCCATCTACATCTACCTGTGGGTATGGAGACCACTGGTGTAGTTAGTGCCTCTGACTTTTAATGCTCCAATAAGACTATTCCATGGAAGAGATGTGTGGCGGATGCCTCTGTGAGATACAATATTACTGGATTTGATACTTATGTTTTAGACTGGTCTGAAAATTCTTGTCATCCCAAAAGAAATGTCGCTGCATATGTCATGCGCTCTTAGGTATTGCTTGTAGGAAATATTAGTGTTCAGAAAGATTATGATTATTATAATGTAATTTACTTCAATTGTCAAATAAGCAATTGTGTCACCCG